TTTCCGCTCTATTCCCTTGTCTACTTTATTCTAAGTATACTTATCTCCTTACTGCTCTTGATATGCCAATTGCATTAGTTTCCTACCCCTACCACCTACCTGCACTTTCACTTTCCATGGTTCCAGTGAGCTGCAGTGAACTGTGGTAAAAAAAAAATCTAAATAGAAAATTACTGGAATAAACATGGAGACCACAGTTACATAACCCTTTATATGATATGCTGCTATAATAGCTGTATTTTATTATTGTTAGTTTCTCTGTTCCATTTACAAATGAAATGTTATGATAGCTGTATTTTTATAGGGAAAAACAGCAATAGCCATATGTATGACTTGTGCTTTTAGGAACACATCTGGATTGAGTGTGACTGTGTGTTCTTCCCTCTGTCTCAGAGTTTAGAGAACAGCTGCGTGAGTTCTTCATGTCATTCACTTCCTTTCTTGATATCTCTTCTCTAATATTACCCATAAGGAAGCTATATCAGTCACTTTTCTGTTGCTGTGATAGAAACACTCACCAGAACAACTTATACAAGGAAGAGTTTATTTGAGCTTATAGGTTCCACGGGAATTACAGTCCATCATGGCGTGGAGGCATGGTAGCTGGAGGTAGCTGGAGCAGGAGCAACAGAAGTTAAGCTCTCACATTGTCAAGCTGGCACAGGAAGCAAGAGAGCAACTCGAGATCTGGCAAGGAGATCTGGAGATCTCTAAGCCCACCCCCAGTGATGTGCTTCCTCCAGGATAGCCACACCTTCTAAAACCTCCCAAAACAGCACCACCATCTAGGGACAAAATGTCCAAATACTTGGAGCCTATGGGGGACATTTTCATTCTGGAGCCATTTCTGAACTAGCCTATGTAATATAATAACAACCTTCTTTTCACTCCCAGTTTCTTAAGAAGTTTGGCATCAAAGGGCATTTTTTGACATTCCTTACTTAGCTAAATTTTTTTTCTTATATTTTAAACTACATGGCAAATTATATAGTTACCTACTATTCTAGTTTGTTTCTCCATTGCTGTGACAAAATACTCTCACCAATACCATCTTGGGGAGGAAAGGGTAAGTAACAAGAGACCAGCATCACGCTGGCAAAATCTTCTGGGAACTATTTCTTCAGGCTCAGCACACAGAAGGTATGGTCCGGGGGGGCGGGGGTCTCAGCTTCCATCTCAAGCTGGAAGCAGGACTTGGTGATGTGTAAGAGCCTCCTGCATGGTTCTGGTGTTGAAAATATAACGGGGTCACAGAGAGCAGCTGAGGCTTGGCATCCTAAGAGGCCAGGAAAGGCCATTGGTGAAAGTGCAGCCTTGGTTGTAGTGTAAACCCCAGGATTGAAGGGGTCATGGAGAGAATCTGAGGCTTTGTACCCTGAGAAGCCAGTGAAGGAGCAGCCTTAGATTCTCAGTGGAGACCCCAGGTGTTTAGAGTTGCTGAGACCATGGGATGACCACCAAAGTCAGGAATAGGTGTGGAATGGAGCCAGCATCAGACTGTGAGATGAGCTGTGTGCGCTGTGGACAGCAGAGTCAGAGAAGTGGAGCTGCCATAGCACTTTGGAGCCCAGATTATCATGAGTGAATCCCAGATGTCCAGCCTTGAGTTAGTTTTCTGAACTTACGTTTTGCTTAGGTGTGCCCAATTCTTCCCTTGAAATAAGACAGTACTTTTTGGATTTCACAGGATCCTACAGTTAAGAGACTTTTAAAAGAGACTATGGACTTTAAGTGTTTATATTTTTGTAAAGGACTATGGGACTTTTAAAATTGTACTGCAGTGTTCTGGGTGAGTGCTTCATTAATATCCTTCAGGTCACTGATTCACATTTGCTTTCTATTTTTTCCTTAGTTTATTTACATCAGTGGTTACGATTTTTATTCTCAAAAAATTTGAAGATGTTTTAAAATTGATCTGTCCCTGTTTCATTTGTTTTTATTCCACTTATTATTGCTGTTCTCAGTTATATTTTAAGGGCTCTTACCTTATTTTATAAACATATTTTCTAGGGTGTGTTATACTCATTTTGTTCAGAGGATCATATCACCCAATTATTCAGCTAGTGTGTTGGCATAGGGTTCATATGTTTTGGAGGTTTTTTTGTTTGTTTTTTCTATATGACCACGTCTTAATAGCGGGTTGCTGTTACTCTTGTTGTTGTCTTCTTCTTTAATCACTACTTTCTTGTGTGATTCCTTTCTCTCTAGAAGTTTTATGATTGCCACTAAATTGTGAACCTTATTCCAGCCCAGCCCATGTCCCTGTAATGGGTTTTATATTGATAACTTTAGGCTTTGCCAACATAGGAATATTGCTGCATTTAGTTTTTCAGCTGGGTGGTCATAGGGGTTGATCCAACCCTCAATTAGGGTGCTTTATCTATCTATAAAGTTTTTCCTACTAACCTTTGTATATAAGCCTTCCTAGCAAAGGTGGACAGAAGCTTTAGGAGCCCTACCCTCATCTTGGTTTCAGACATCTAGCCTAGCTGTTCTACACATGAACAAAACACTTCCGTTCCCCATACTTCCTGCAGCCAAGCGCCTTTCCGCTTGAGCCCATATCTGCACCTTCAGAATAGCTGATGGCATCTTCACCTCCATTTGGAGCTTTGCATTCCTGCTTAATTTTTAATCATATGGATTTTCCTAATCATTGTAGCTGTGTCTGTTGCTTTCTTATTAGCACTATGCCTTTAGAGAAGGAACCTAAAGTGTGCACTTCCTATGCTAACTTATTAAAAGTCCAATTTAAAATACTGTAATGCTTCCTGACCTACCTCTTATCTTCAGTGGCATGCCTTTCTGATCTGTGTCCCATTTGATACCTCTGTACCTTCTAAGATGTTTATATAAATATCTGTATATCACTTACTTTTCAGAAGATTGTTTTTTCCTTTTCTATAAATTCTGTGGTAGGTGGATGGCTTAATCCCAGATTCCTGTTTGCCTTAACTATTTTTGAAGTCTTTTAAAACTATAGATGAGTGTTTAATAAATTTTCCATTTATGATATAAATTAAACAGTATCAGTCAGAATGTATAATACCTTCAAACCTTTGTTCCTTCCTTTCCTTTCTTTACCTATGTAAAGCTATATTTATTTTTAAAAGTCACTATTTACATGTATTGTGATTCTTTTGTTTCTCAGAGAACTGTGCCTCAGTTTCACAACTACTATGTAGTTGGTAATATTCCCATAGACTAGAAAGCACATAAACAAATGCCAGCATTTTGGAATTTCTGCACCTAGAATAAATTGTTAGTAAATGTCTAACATTCTTCTTCTGTGAATTTTACCTTAAATACTTTTTTTAAAAATTAATTTTACCAGAAAAATTATAACATACTGTATAATATGACTAAACACAAAGCACTGAATTAAGGCTTGACCCATTTGATACATTTTCTCTGATAAAGTTCACTGCTGGAGTATAGGTGCTTTCTAAATATACAGGTATGAAAAACTCCCCGAACACATTCTTTTATAGAATATTCTTTGAAAGCTGTGTACATTTATACAATGTATACTGAGCATATCCATCTACCACTACCTCCTACTAATTCCCCAGCCCATCGCTCTCCCTCCCATTTTCATGTCCTCTTTTTTTTTTAATTTTTACAGAAACTGTAAGAATTTCATGCATGCGTATAAGGTGTTTGGATCAAATCCATGCCCACTCCCTCCCCTCCAACATTCCCCCCTCTGAAGAGGTAACCATAAAATCTTTTAAGGATTAGATACAAGCTCCCAAATACTTTTGATATTTTTGGCCTTTGGAACAGAGTGTGTTGCTAACAGGCCCAAGGTTCATGTCCTCTTTTTATTTTAATTTTTTGTTATTTATAATACCTTGATTCCAGGTAGTATTGCCCATGTAAACATGGGTGTATGACCACTCACTGGTGCATGAGCAACTACCAGTGGCCACATCCCCGAAGGAAAGCTACCCATCTTCCCTCAGTAGCTATCAAATGCCCAAGCTCCTTTTGATAAGAGTAGGACCTTGAGATCCCCTCACTGATGCATCCTGGAATTTTGACTGGCTTGATCTTGTGCGGGTCTTGTTTTGGTACCATAGCTGCTGTGAGTTGATGCATGCAGAGTCATGTCTATAAAAGTCAGAATTTCACAGCTCTCCTCCCCATAGTCTAGCTGGCTCTTACGTTCTTTCTACTTCCTCTTCCTCACAGCTCCCTGAGCCTTGGCTGGTGGGAGTTTGATATAGATGACTAATCTATAGCTGAGCACTCATTTATATTCATCACTTTGACCAGTTAGGAATCTCTGCAATAACCACTGCTCAATGCAAAAAGAAGTTTCTCTTACCAAAGTTTAGAGGAGCATAAATCTATAGATACAAACATACATGTTTAGAATGCAGCTTGATAACATAACCATTTAGCAAAATAATGAGTAGGTTCCCACCAGGCCCTACGATCTCTCTAGTCATGAGTTTTGAGCAGGTTTACAGTACCAAGCATGAAATCTGTTGTGGAGCAGGCCTCGTATAATTTAAAAGTGGTTGGTTACACCCATAACCTTCATGCTGCTATTGTACCAGTGGGCACATTTTGCCAGCAGGTCAGTGTATTAATAATATGTTTACCTATATATTACATAAATGATTTTATGGTCATTTCAGTCAAGATTAAATTGTGTTTTGCATGTGGATTTTATCGAAATCTAGAAACTAAATTGTTTCATGAGTGTGAAGTTGTCATAGTTGTCAGCAGTGGTAAACTGCAGATACTCGCCATATGGTTTCTAATTAATTCTGAAAAAATTGTTGACACAAGAGCATTTAATTCTCTTTGTTTTCAAATCATGTTCATTATAAGGATATGAACATATAAAGGATTATCTATGGGCCGGGGATAGTTATAGAGTATTTGCCTAGCATTCGTGAGCTCTTGGGTTTGATGCTCAGTGCTTGATACAAATAAACAACAATACCTAGCAGTTAAGACTAATAAACCTCTATATTTTTTATTTCTAGAGAAAAACAAAAATCAGAAGCCAAAGACAGAAAAGTTCTAGAAATTCTACAAGTCAAGGATGCAAAAATACAAGAATTGGAGCAGGTTGTATTGTGACAAGAATATCAAACAATACATTTGTTTTAGGCTGTAGATCCTTAAAATTGTTTAATTTTTTTTGTAATATTCATTAATAATATCAGGGCTGTTATGTGGAATATTATTTTGAAATTACTGTAGTTGATCTTTCATTATTATAACATGCTTAGAGCCCAGTATTTGTTTTCTAAAGAAGTAGAGTATAATAGTTATTCACTAAAATGCCTAAAATAATGTCAAAGTTATAGAATAGTACATATTATTCACTGTCTTCCTATATTTTGCTTTTATTTATTAAATTTTTACATGGTTTCAGTTGTCTACAATAACTGGGATTATTCTAGTTCAGTTCTTAAAATTTGCATTTTTGTATTGGTGTAGTCCTATCTTTTACATGTAGCTAGTGAATTACACATTACATAAAAATGTACATATTATATATATATAAAATCTGTATGTGTTTGTGCAATCAATATATTATTACCACACAATGTGTCTATTCTCCCTAGACTATAAATTCCATTCAGTGAGAATGGGGGCATTTCATACTAAAAAATATTTATTATTTATTATTTTTATTTTTTGTGTGTATGATTGTATGTCTTGCAGTTATGTAAGTGAGCCATGTCATGTAATGCCTGCGTAGATCAGAAAAGGGCGTCAGATTTCCCTGGAACTAGAGTTATGGACAGTTGTCAGCCACCATGTGGGTTCTGTGAACTGAACCTGGGTCCAGCTCTGCAAGAGCAGCTAGTACTCTTAACTACTGAACCATCTCTCCAGCCCCTGAATTTCATACTTAATCTTAGCATTCCATCCTTGCCTCCAATGGTTTCAGTCCATCTTATATTGCAAAATGCACTTAGTTCATCTTAAAGAGTTCCTATAGTCTTAGTACCAGTATTATTTAGAACTCCAGGTTGAAAGTCTCCTTTGAGACTGAATCAAAACTATCTGCTGTGAACCCCTGTAAAAATTTAAAAGAAAATTATATACTTCCAGTATACACTGGCATAGAGTAAATGCTGTCATTCCAAAAGAGAGGAATGGAGACCTAGAAAGGTGGGATCAGACTAAAGACAGACCAAAGCCGGTAAGGTTAACTTTAAATCTTACAGCTCCATTTCTGGCATCTGTGGCACATGGTGGTATGATCTGGGCCCTAAAGGACTTGGGCAACCTTGCCTCTGTATCCTTGCCATTTGAAACCCATGGGCTTCTCTTTTTGGCTGGCTGTGCTCTATGCTTCAGCTTTCCTTGGCAGATACTACACATTCCTGGCATCTCCATCTTGTTTCTGGGGAGGAATGGTTCATTTTGGCTCAGAGTTTGAGAAGTTTCAGTCCATTATGGCAAGGAGGGTGTGGTAGAGTAGACCAGATCAGCATTTTGTAGTGGTCAGGCAGCAAGAGAATGCCTGTGGTAACTCACTTGGTCCTTTATTCCGTTTTGTTCCATCTGGGTCCCCAGAGTATGTAATGGCTCCACTCACTTTCAGGGTGAGTCTTCTTTATTATTTAATCTCTGAAAATCCCTTATAGAAATACCTAAAAATGTGCTTACTTATTTCTCAATCCAATCAAGTTGATAAGATTAATGTATACTGTTAAAATATATTGACTTTCATATATGACAATCTCTTTCTTTTATTTGCTGAGAGCCACTTAATTCAGTAGTTCACACGGTTTTGGGCTAGGAAGTGTGAATGTACCAGGAGGCTAGCAGAATTACAAACTAAGAGTTGATGTTATAGTGCAAATTATAAGACAGGATGGTGGTAGAATTGCTTCTTCTTCCAGGGAGCACAGGTTTTTACTTAATGTCTAATTGATTGGTTGAAAGCAACTCACATTGTGGAGGGTAGTCTGTTTTGTTCAGTGTCCTCTAGTTTGGATAGTAATCATATCAGAACTTATATTTTCACAGCAGCATCTTGACTGTGAGCATCAGTGCCTACCATGGTGATGCAAAATTAAACAGATGAGTACAAATATTTGAGAGAAACAGGTCTTTATTATTTTTTTAAATTTCTTTCTTCAGGCCTGGAGATCAAAACCAGGAACCGACACATACTAGGCAGGCATCCTATTCATGAGTTGCAACACCCTTCTCGGTGTGGTCCCTTCTTCTCCCTGTCTTTCTCTTTTCTTTCCTTCTCCTCCTCCCTCCTTCTTCCCCCTTTTCTTTCTTTCTTTGTTATTTTTTAAGACATAGTCTCCCAAAGTTACTCAAACTAGTAAAAGCTTTTCAGAGGCTAACTTTGGTGAAACATTTCTCAAGAAAGCTGATTTTGGGACTGGAGGGGTGGATCAGTGGATCTCTTCCAGAGGGCCCAGATTCAAATCCCAGCACCCCCATGGCAGCTAACATCCTTTTGTAACTCTGGTTCCAGAGGGTCTGACACCTTCTTCTGTCCTCAATGGGCACTGTAAGACACCAGTGTACCTACACACATGCAGGCATAACACTCATAAACATAAACTAAATAAATTTTAAAAAATAATTTAAAAATTAATAATTGTTGTTTTGGTTGTGCTAAGGAGCAAATCCAGAGAGACATTTGAAAATCCTGGGACTGGAGAAATGATTCAACAATTAAGAGCATCTACTGCTCATTCAGAGGACCTGAGTTTGGTTCCCAGCACAGATGTCTGGCTTTGTGTAACTCCAGCTCCAGGGGATCTGCAGAGATCTGCCTGTCTCTGCCTCCCAAGTGCTGGGACTACAGGCGTGAGATGTAAGATGTAAAATTGAATGAGTTTTTAACCTTTAAAAAAGATCTCCATTTCATTTTAAAATATACTGTTTCCTACAGAAAGAGTCATTGTTTTTGCTACTAACACTTAGATGTTGGCACATGCATCTCTAATCTCTATGTATCTGATTATTACTGGTCACAGTCAGTTACATTCAGATCCTTGGCACCTGTGGTTGATGCCACTGTTGCCACAAGTTTACATGTGCAAGCTTCCAGTGGCCGGAAAGCCTCTGCTTTCCCTGTGTTCATGAATCAACTGTGGCTCTTACAATCTTTCCACCTTCTCTTCCACAGTGGTCCTGAGCTTTGGGTGGGAGAGGTTTGATATGGGAGTCCTATCCAGGGACACACACTCTACAGTCTCTTATTCTTTAAAATAATGAGTTGTGGCCTTTTGTGTGCATCACACTCTGTTGTATAAGGAAGCTTCACTGGTAAGAGTTGACGGATGCACTGGTTTTCTCTCTACTCCCCACCCCATTCAGATATCATAAACTTTAGGTGTAGAGGTTCCCCTATAGATATGTCACCTAGGACTGGGCATCTCTCAGACATACATTCTCTGTGACCAGTTTTGGGATTCTGCAGTAGCCTCCATCTGTTGCAAAAAGAAGCTTCTTTGATGAGTGTTGTATGGTATACGTGTTTCCCAGATAACATTGCTGCTGCTGCACCAATAGAGGTAGTTTGCTGTGCTGGGCATTATGGTTGTTAGGCTTTAGGGCTGGATTGTATGATTGATTGATTTTCTCCTTTAGCAGCTTGCATAGTCTCTTCTACAACTATGAGAGCTAAACTTCAGATAGAAGGCTTCCAGGTCAGTTCCTGCACCATAACTCCAAGTCCTGTGTCTGAAGGATGTCCTGTCTTCAGCAGTATGGTCTTATCTTCTGGGAGATAACCAAGAGCTCTGCCAATAGCCTGTGTTATTTTGGGAGGCTCTTGGACCACTCTGACCAACTATTCAAAGGGAAGTCTCTCCTGTCTGGCACTATGTTCCTTGCCATACAGCCCCCCAGGTATACATATTCATTAACATTCAGACACTGTGTGTGCATTTCTCAGGGGGTTTTAGAGGCAACACATTGCCCTCTTGCTTTCCTAGCCCCCAAGATCCATTCATCTCTACTCTCACCCCCTCAATCCGACCTCCCTCCTTCCTCCCAGTCCGAGGGTCTCCATTGTCTCCTCCCTCCCCCCAATAGCACCCACCTCCCACCACGCCTCCTCTTGAGTTCCTCCCTCCCTCACCCTCATCCCCTGTATGCGCCTCCCTTTTCCCCTCCCAGCTAAACACTCCTGCTTTGTCCACCCCCCCCCTGCAACATCTGTTCCCTACTGTGCCCCCTTTTCAGGTTCTTTCTTTTCTTTTATGTCCTTGTTTCCATTTACCTGGCTTCTGCTGTTAACATCAGGATATATACTCACATTTAAGGTACTGGTGCTATGATCTGCAAATCAGGGAGATCTGTGTATAATACTCTTTAGTTCCATCCATTTACCTGAAATCTTTTCTTATTGCCGAGTATAATTCCATTGTGTAAATGTACCACATTTTCATTATCCATTTGTCAGTTGAAGGACATTTAGGTTATTTCCATCTCTTAGCTATTGTGAAAAAAGCAACAACAAACATGGATGTACAGGTGTCTCTACAATAGGATGAGTTCTTTGTGTATTTTCCAAGGAGTGGTATAAATGGATCATATGGTGGATTCAATTTTAGTTTTTTTAGTCCGCCATACTGCTTTCCATAGTGGTTATACAAGTTTCTGTTCCCACCAGCAGTGAATGATTGTTCCCCTTCATCCTCACCAGCATTTGATGTTTTTCGTTTTCTTGATCTTAGCCAGTCTGACTGGGGTAAGATGGAACCTTAGAGTGGTGTTTATCTGCATTTCTTGTAATTACTAATGATGCTAAGTACTTTTTAAGGTGTGTCTTAGCCATTTTTATTTCTTTATTTGAGAACTCTCTGTTCAGGGCTATAGTCCATCTTTTTTATTGGTTCATTTATTTTCTTGTTTCTTTGTTTTTTGAGATCTTCATATATTCTGGATAGTAATCCTCTATTGGATGAGTGGCTGGTAAAGGTTTTCTCCCACCAGTGTGTTTACTCGTCACTTCCTTGGTTTCTTTTGCTATGTGGAAGCTTTGTAGCTTAATAAGGTCCCACTTATTGATTGTTTACCTTAATGCCTCGAGCAGCTGATGTTCGATTTAGAAACTCCTTTCCTACACCTATATC